TAATACGATTATAAAAATTGTATATTTTTTTGCTGTTTTTTTATAGGGTATAGTGAACATCGTAAAATATATAAAATAATAATACAAATATCGAAATCTCGTAAGTTGGGTTTATTTTTTCGATCGGCTTTCGTGTAAAAAGCATAAATCACCGCGAAACGTATTGTCTGTTGATACAATTGCCGCTTTTTTTTTCTTTTAATTTATTGTTTTCTTCTTATTACTGTGCGTTTTTTTTATCTCTCATGCGGAATCAAAAAATGTCTAATTCTATTACACGTCGGTAGAAATAAGTCCGAGAATTACTTGGGTAGCGACCGAATAAGCGTGGGAGGGTTGATGTTTATTGTATTTACGAGGTTGCATATAGGCAGTTTGTTTCGAACGTTTTGATGAAATGGAAATTTATCGGGTCAAAAATACCTAAATTCACTGTTTAATACATTTAAAAGTGGACCCGTGTCGTTGTTACTAGCATTGTTTAGGTACTGCGTAATCGTGAAATAAACAAAAACATTCACAGAGGAAACATTTCGAGCGAGGAAAAACTACTGGGACTATATAGAACTTTAATATTAGAAAAGGTGTCCTTGAATAATGGAGACAGGTGCAGCCACTGTTTTAGGTGGGAAGTTGGGAACCTAGGGTACAGAAGAAAATGTCATGTATGTCTGTAAGCAACGATAAACCATTGCTAACGAAGAAACGATTCTTAGTGGAGTTCAGATGATAGTGATACTTTGTCAACATATATGATGTCATATTAAGGTTAGATAACTAACAAAAATATAATTTCTTTAATAGTATTTTTTTAATTTTGATACGATTTTCCCATTTTTCCTACGTTTTTCCCGGTTCTTCCATGTTTTCCATTTCCTGGTTTTTCACATTTGCTGGGAAAGCTCTTGGGAAAACTGAAAAATGACCTCCCTTAAGTACCTTCCCAGTTAGATTTCCTTCCTAAAAAAGCGTTCTCGTTGTAAATCGGAGTAACGATCCTGGCAGAAAAGTTGTTCACGGAAAAAAAGAAAACCGTATTATTTTTCAACATACACCTAAATTTCGTAAATTTTCCCGTTTTTGGTTGTTGGTTTTTCACATTTGTTGAGAAAACTCATGGGAAAATTGAAAAATGATCTTCCTTAAGTACCTTCCCACACCGATTTTCTTTTAGAAAAAGTACTGAAAATCGGAGCATGATCTCTGGTAAAAAAGTTGTCCACAGAGAAAAAAAAGAATAAACATATTCGTAAAATCAAAAGGTTCCTCCACTTAGAACTTAAAAATCATATGTTCTTTGTTCGTCATAAAAAAAAAATGTCTTCGTTATCACTAGGATTTTGTAGTTATAGGAAATAAATTTTAGATTCACTGCAATAGTCTCTGTTTTCGGAGAACATACAAAAATTATAATAAAATAGTAGTCATAGCGCAAGAATCTAGTATGAATTATTGCAAGAAAAAAATAATATTAATTACAAATATTAAATAGAACGAAAGTTATTTCAGGTGTTAAATATTCGTATAAGCGCCCATTTGGAGGACAAGGGGAAGATATGTCCCCATCTACATTGGGAAAATTTTAAAACCCACCGAAAAATGACTTATTTTTAAGCCGTCACGCAGGGCAAACGGCACACAGCACAACCTTTTTTTTTTTTTTTTTACAGGTAATGTGTTCTTATCGCTCGTATTCACGTAAAGAGTCTTTAAAATATATGTTTAAATAGCTGGTTTGTTCTTCCTCTGAAAATTACCATACGGGACCCCGTGTACATACAAAAGTCGTTAATTATCGACCGGAATTAATAATATTATTACCGTACGTCCGCCGAAAGTTAATAATCGTACTTGTATAAATTGTCGAACGTCAATATTCATTAAATTCCCGGATATAAATGATATTAGCCGAATGTCCGGATGACATTTTATGAAAATCACGCTCTTTATAATAATAAAAGTATTATGGAATTATTATCAAACAACGGTACAATAAAATATTATTATCGCGATTACTGTTTACGTTCAAAAGTTCAAATCACTTTAGTTAATTGAAATAATATGACCGAGGTTATGAAAATGCAATGTTACCGAACATAATCAGTTTTTAAAAACAATTCCCGGCGCCAACAATAACAATAAATGCGTCAATGGCGTGTACACTATAATAATATTGTGTTATATAGTGTGTAGTAGTTGTTGAATTAGTTTTCAAAAATAAACCGTATTACTGGCACTCAATTTTCTGTATACGAAAAAATTCGAAACGAATTTGAACATATTATTCAAATATCATACACGGAACACAAATAATCGGGAATGTCGTAGTTTTCGTCTTGACATAATGGAAGACGATCGCGGCAGTACGGAGAACGGTTAGACGGTTAGTCGTTATAGCGAGAGGATACAGGGAGACAGAATGGCAAAATATGCAAATTCCGTTGATCACAGAAAAATTTAAAAACTCAATGAAAATTGTGTTATAAATAAAAAAAATATATTTTATAAATGTATTTTTTGTTTATTGTCGAACATTATTTATGAAAAAAATGTTGTAGGTTCAAAAAATGTGGATAAGGACCTGAGACTTGTACTGAAAATACTGTAAACTTTATAGTGGTCCATAGAATTTTCAGTTGTAAGTGTAGAGGTACGTGAGGCCAAAAAGGTTGGCGACCATTGTGTTAGATGATGTCCGACAGGTTTTGAGTAAAATATTATGAATATTTCAAAATCGAATAAAACAAATAGTGTGTCCTCGAGTTGGCCACTACCTTTTTTATCTGGTCTCTTTAGTCTTACAAATGATTTAGATTATCGTAGTACCTACGAGAACTGCTGGGGTGTGAACGTAAGACGTGGAAAATGTGTGAGTTTGAGATTAATTATTAGGACAAAAATGAATGATATGAAATTATCGAAAAAAAAGACATAATATATAGGTATAGTTGAACGGCTAAAGAATTTATTTAATTTAGACCCCTCCGCCCAACATTGAGATCAACAAAAAAAATATTTCTTACGGAGACCGGTTACGGGACCGAGGGGCTACGATAACAAACACAATGAAATGTCTGGATACTCTTGGTCGTTGAAATTTTGTCGAGTATTCGGAGAAGAAATTTGTATTCATAGTAATTATTATGATGTACAATATATTTGTATAATTTGTACGTATTATTTAAATTATTATTATTTAATTATTATGTGGATACAAATCGGCGGGAAGTTATATAAATATAATTTAAAGGTAAAATCTATAACATTTATGAAAAGAATCGTTTAGGTCACTTATCGGTTCGTCTATTATAGGTTGACATGTAGTTATATGTAGTTCTAGACAATAGTTATTCCGTATCACAAGACATTTTTTAATTTGGCTGTACAAGAGAACAATGCAGTACAACCCCATAAGTAAAAGACACCACGTCCATTTTTGATAAAATTGAGTTATAGAGGGAAGAAAGCGCATTTAAAATGTATGGGTAAACTAATGGATAAAAGTATTAGAACTCCTGAATATCTGTAGGCTATTAACTTCCGTATCCATGTTTTAAATTGCCACTCCATACAGTGGCGTATTTAGAGGTGTTTGGGGTTGTAACCCCCTAATATTCTACAAAGTATTTCGCAATTGTCAATAGAAGAAGTATATCCACAAATTAATCGGTTTAAACTAAAAAATCTATGTGCAACTCGATTGGTCGATCGCCATGATGCAGTTATATGATTTTAAAAACTTCAACTAGCCATTTTACATGTACTCGATAAAGTTACACTTTGGTCTGATTCTGACACTTGTAATTCTGCAAGTCATCTTCTTACTGCGATAAAACAGTTAAAATGTCAAACAGTTTTATATATTTTATTGAAAATACTTTCCATAAGTTTTCCACTTGGCCAATATCTTCAAACGGTAAATGTTGATATAAAAACTGTATTAGAAGCTGCTAATATTCAGTATAATATTCAGGATATTAAAGAAAATTGTGGTGTAGAGTTTCAACAATTATTTTTATCCGTATAACTGTCTGTGAAAACTTAGATAATACTGTTAGTTTGCCACGTCAATCTAAATCAGATTACCCAGAATATTTGTTTAAGTATTCATACCTTTTATAGATAATTGTTTAGACCAATTGAGCAAAAGACTTACATCGCATAAGATTGTTTTGAATAATTTTGATTGTATTTTACTTAAGATAGAAATGAAAATATCTGAAGGAATTAAAGGTAAGGTTCAATTAGTAGAAACATATCAAGATATAATTGATGAATGTTACGATTTAAATTTAAATGATCATATATCAAACGGAGAATTAGATTTGTGATACACTAAATATTCAAATTTAACATCTTCTGAACGCAAGAACAAAAATACTATTGAAGTATACTTTCAAAACACTCCAGATGTTTATTCAGTTATATCTTAATTTCTTCAAATATTCATAACATTTCCAGTACCTACTGCTACGGAAGGATGATCTTTTTCAATACTCCGTCATTTAAAAATATATTTGAGAAATACTTCGGTACTAATACGTTTAAATGGTTTAGCCTTACTAAAATATATTCATTAAAATATTAACATGAATATCAATATCGTTATATGTGAACTTGCTAAAACATCAAAATGAAAAATTAATATACATTTATAGTTTTTAAAAAAGATACATTTTTCAAATTGTATATAATTAGCACTGTAAATAGTATTAATATGTTTAATCTATGATTATAATACACAAAAAATTCAAAACAATTTCACTTGTTAAATTTATTTGAACCCCCCCTCAAAAAAAAAAAATTTGGATACGCCATTGGCTCCGTATACCCTTTCTTTATTCTTTTTTATTCAACCAGTTACATGTCAAACCGTTATTTTTTATAGATTGATGAAATTGGCCACATCTATTTTATTTTAGATTTTATGTTCTTATTTATATTTCTCTAGTTATTACAAATTTGTACATTTATGTTGTTTTAGTATATTTGCGAATTACATGATTGTTCATGTAATATTTTGTACTTTAATTTCGCTTTTATGAAAAGATTTTGTAATTGGGCTAGTCCCTGTATATATATATATATATATTTAAACAAATAAATTCACGAGTAGAATGTCCCGTATTTAGAGGTTTTCCTATTTAGACGTGTAGTGAAAATATCCTCGTCTCCCTCTCCAAAAAAAACGCCCGCTATTCCGAGGCGTCCGTTAATGAAAAATTCACTATATATTATTGACTCACTGTCGGCTGGTGTTTTTTTTCTAGCAATACGCGAGCATTGACCATCACGAGCATTACAATCGGCCACCCAGCAGAGACAACAGCGTGGACAGATACCAGCGGAGAAACGAAAGGCTCAGAAGCAGTTCGAGACAGAGTTCTGTGGAGAAGTCGTCGAGTCATCATCAGCAACAGCCGGACGGGAGGTCGCCGTTTGGATCGGGGGCCAGTGGTCAGAGTTCGCGTGCCAATCAGGCGCCAGGTACCGTCAGCTACACCGTGCCCAAGACCAGCAGACAGTCACCGTTCGAGGACGTCATAATCAATCAGCGGAACATCGGGCAGGAGATCCTTCCATCGCCCTCCGGCTGTCCCAAACGGACGGAATCGCTGTACGTGAACCCGGACGCGGCGCGCCGGGACCACAAACCAAAGGTTAGTATATGGAAATCCTGCGAAGACGATTTTTGCAGTGAATGCATACTCCAATCGCCCACTTCCACCAGCGGGGAAGAGTGTTGTCCGGAAACCTGCATTTACGCGGTCCCCCCGCGGCCCGTCCGCAGGAAGCCGAGGCTGCTGCCTTCGGTTCCCCCGCTGAAAACTAAGATGGCGAACCTAAAGGTGGCCTCCGAGGCCATCAATAAGAAGTCTCCGAGGCAACCGAAATAAGATCGTTATTTAAATTAAACATTTTTTTTTTTTTATTATTATTATTATTATTCATGCTAGCGTCGATTGCCAAAACAAACGTAGCATATTTATTAGCGGCATTGCAGTAGTATCAGTAGTATTAGCAGTAGCGTATATAAGCGACAGTAGTAATAGCATATTAGCAAGAGTAGTAAGTTGCCGTAATGTATTTAGTGTAAATAGTGTAAATAACGGACCTTTTACACGGCCGTTTGGGTCTGTCAGTTTTCACCGGCCGTCGACCGGTTTTGCGTACGAATAAAATCGGAACGTTCAGCAATCCGTCGGCCGCGGACAACTGATCAATCTCGAATCGATCGTGTACGGGCCCCCGTCTAGTTGTAATCAACGGCTATATTCGAGTACGTGTTCGAGCCCCGTGCGGCGAAATCCCTCGGGTCACAGCTCGCCCGTTGAATCGCGTCCCGGCGATAAGCGAACCCGAACGTAAAACAATACAACATTCGAATATTATTGTCGCCGACTAGATTACGGGGGGAACGTGACAAAGGTGACGGGAATGTAATAATTGGCGTCGGCACGCGCATTTCGTAAAATTGTCCGGTAAACCCGAGTGTCGTTGTTTCAATATTGTACGGGTCAGTTATCGCGTATTTGGAATTCCGTGTTAACGGTACGGTAACAAAAGCGCTTCGGCTACTCGGCGACGCGTTTCGGGGTGTTTCGCGGCATTTTCGAAAACGCGATTCCTATCGCGTACAATATTAAAACAACAATACTATAAGGTATTTATTTTTTAATTTTTTTTCATTTTAACTGTAAATTATCATGTAATTAACATGTACAAATAATAAGTATTATAATTTCTCAGTAAATAAAAAAATAAAAATTTAAAAAAAAAATATATTATTTTCTTTTTTTTATTTATTTCAAACTTTAATTATCATGTAAAAATATGTATAATTTCTCTGTAAATAAAAAAAAAAAATAATATTAAGTATTATCGGCGTGCGGCCAAAACGGAGGTTTTACGAAATGCGGGTGCCGGTGCACCCATGCTAATATTAATATTATCAGCGATATCGAATAGCTGGAGCCGAACTGGAGAACTTGTCGGCTAATATTCGAAATTTTCGAACAACAACAAAAAAAAAAAACAAAATAATACAAAATGTGAAAGAAAAAAAATCGAAAAAGGACGATCGATAACACGTCCGGGAAAACGCATTTTCCGGAATTAAGCGTTAATAGTTAACTGAGACATGTAACGAAACACATACATACGAGTATTGTTATAATATATCGTTTGCGTCTCCGAAATCTTGGAGTTCGATCCAAATAAAAAGACCATATGCAATTATTGACGGTTAGGCCCGTGACCGTTGCGCTCGTGTACGTAAACAATACGGGGGTATAAGATTACATTTTTTTTTTTCTGGCCATCCTGACAATAAAATTACGCGATTATCTTGATATGCGGCAAAAAATTTAAATCGTCCGGAAAACGATCCGATTCGGCCGGGGAGGCGCTCTGTTCGGCTGACTGCCGACCGGAGTCCCCGGAATTATTACGCCCGAGATTTCCCTCGGAACCCGAGATTTCTGGCGGCATCGCGTGGATTTCTGAGAGTTTTCTCGGGCCGGAATACCGTTTCCATCGTCATGACGATTCGCCTCTATTAAAACGCGTTGAAATTTTAAAAAAAATTTTGAGGCACGGGGACGTTCTTCTGATTTGCTGATCGAGCGAGCGAACGTGTTAAATCACATAATATCCGTGTCGGCCGACCCGTAAAACAACGACAATGCAAAGTTGGACTTTTCGGGCCACGTAAAAATCCATCATCAAAACGTACCGATTACGATTTAAGGTCGAACGTTTACCGTCCTCACCCCCCCCCCCCCATGGTTTCGACGTTACGTTTTGGCCTAACGTAACCTAACATATTGTCGAAACGTCAATTAATTTGAAAACTCGTAGCGGATGACAATGACGAACACGAACAGAGAAATGCATCAAAATATTATTATAGATAAATTTAACGGAGCATGATAATTTTTGACATGATTGAACATTTCGGGGGAAAAACAGCGATAACGCCAAATTAATTCATGACGTTTAAGCGTTTATAACAGCTAAAAAAAAAAAAACAGATATTTTTTGACGACGCAATATCGCAGTATTTTGTGTCGTTATTATTGGTTGATCGTGATTATCAAGTTTGGAGTTCGGTGCTCAATCGTGATGTCGAAAATATCAAAATTATCAAATACTATAATAATATTAATTAATATTATGATGCTCAATCGTCTAACAATTGAGCGATTTTTTTTTCCGCGTCCATCGAGTTTTCAATCTTTTTTTTTTTCCTTTTGAAAAATCATTTGAAGGTATTATGATGATCTGCATGATGTATTTTAATGTCAACATGATAATTGTTTACATTGAATGCGAAAGAGGTTTAAAAAAAAACCACAAATTAAAAGGCTAGGGTTATGCAAATATGAAAACCACGGAAATTTTTCCAAGACGAACCACGCGGGTCCTAAAAAATGATATTATTATTTTCTAAAAAAAAAAAAAAAATCTTACAATTTATAAAAGTATAAATCAATGTTTTTTCTTAATATATGTTTAATCTATAAAAAATTATTGTTGTTATTAGTATAAATGATTGTTAATAATATATAGATGGATATAGTTTATGATCAGTGTTTATATTCTATATAAAGTTTAATAGATTTATTGATAGTTAAAATATATATGTGACTACCATTAAACTAAGTTGATTTCGAGATTTTTAAAAATATTATTATTATATCTTTAAGTGTATGTTCAGGGATGGAAACGGTTGTTGATTTATTTTTGTTTTTTTTTTTTTAACATACCTTCAATTTTCTTTTTCGGTGTAAAAAAAAATGCCTCTATAGGACCAAATCTCAGATTTTGTCTGATATAATATGATTTTGATGTTTTTCTAATCTAAATACCTACAATCTTCCTAGTTCTTCCACATTTTTTTTACTACGTCTTCCTGTCTCATTCTTGGGCTTCCAAAAGGGGTCGTACTTTGTGGTGTTCCTTTCGAATAGTCTCCGAGATAATGGGTTTTGGCTCCTTCGTGTCAGGCTTCCAAATATGGTCGTTCTTCACGGCATTCCTTTCAAATACCCAAAAATTGAGGGGCGTTCTCGAGGACTAACTTAATTCAACTAAATTTTGTGAAAACCCATCATAGAAATAAGACTTCCAAAATGTTATTTCTCCCCAATTTCTTTCAAATAATGTTATGTTAATGGGGTTTATGAATAAACTGCAGCCCTCCTTCCAAGAACAACACATATTATCCGAAACATATGTCCGATCAGTAAAATCAAAGCAAAAAAAAAACTAAATTATATACAGATCAATAGGTATTAAATAAATAGTTTGTTTTAAACATGACTCATTCGAGTTTTTAAAAATTGCATTAAAAACCCCGATGGCAATTACTAAAGCGTCTACCCGGAAAGCTAATTTTTTCATTACACTTTGACTTCATCCCCCCCTCCCCGCCCTTTTTAGTACAACAATTCCAGTTCTCCGCAATATCTTACTTTCCGCTCGTCACGGTCATAATTTGTTTTTTTTTTTGTTTTAATCAAAACCGTTTTCCGTCCTCGGCGTTTTATTTTATAAGATTATATATCCACGTTAAATATAAAAATTATTTATGAATTCCGGAATAATCCGTTAATTCGAATTGATAATAATATTGATAATAATATCAACTAACCTAATTAACCATTATTCTTATTTATACAATTAAATACAATTATATTATTATATTAAACCATGCGCATTATCAATTTTGTGTAGTCATTTCTTATATTACATCAAACATAAAAAAAATAATATTATAATCTAATCGATTTCATATTAATACATTATTATACATTAAGTTACGAGACCGTTCTGGGTTAAATTCAATTATCAATACTTTTTAAAACAATTATTGCACTATAAATATTTTAAAAAAAAAAAGAATAATAATAATAATACAAACAAACAAAGGCTCATTTACGGGTAAAATGAATATACCATAATATTTTCAACAATATTATTATTATCATATAACCGTAATCCTGTAGTTTATTATCAATGATTTCCGAAATAAAAAAAAATTAAAAAACACGGGAATTCAATATTTCTTAATTTATCTAACAATTAAATAATTTTTTAATCTATATACATATATATATATAAAAATGATATGTGTACGAATTAAATATGAAAATGATATTTATTATGAAACATACATAATACAATATCATTACCATAACGCAGTGTATTGAATTATATTTTCGAAAAAATCAACGTCACAAATTTTAAACTCGTCATGGTAATTTTTAACGTGATATTTCGAACCAAAATATATATCAAACACTGTAATGTATCAATTATTACACTACGTATACTTTATGTACTTAAATATTAAGTCTTTTTCGCATATTAAAGTGCATTCATTTTAAATTTAAAATATAATTACGGATAATCGTCCGTGAAACATAAACGCTTTTTGGTGTCTATTCAATAAATTTTAATATTATCATAACGTGGGTAATGCCTTTTGCGAATTAAAATTGAACAATGTATTCACATTATTTCAAATCGTCACGATAATTTGCAGTATTAACAAAAATGGCTTTTTTATCCAATGTTAAGATTTTTTTTTTTTTTAAATCCCAAAAAATAATAAAGACGAAAAATACCGACAAACAATATCATCGCGATATTATACACCTAACTGAAACCGTTTCATCATATGGATCGAAACAATTTTTTTTCCTTGGTTTTACTATTGCGTTATACTATATTATTATTATTATTTGAATGTTGATTGATCAGTAGTGAAATTAATATTGAATGCTATTATGCCCTTTTTTTTTCTCTTTCAAAATATTATTTGTTTTTTTTTTTATTATTTATTTCTTGATTTTGAAATGTATTGTAGTGAATTGTTGGCATCCTTTATTTTTATTTTTATTTTTATTTTTTTGATTTTATTCCCCTCCGACACTCGATTGGCGGATGATATTGTTTTTACTATTATTGTTTGCATTATTATTATTTTTTTTTTTTATTTCTTTCATTTTATCCATTATCGGAGTTGTGAATGTCGTCTCCGTTTTCGGAAGACGTAACATACGAAAGTCGCACGGAATCTGTGTTTGTTTGATTATTTATTTTTTTTTTTTCAACTACGAATTTATTCTCATCGTGACGACAGGTAACATGCAAAATATATTATAATATAATATTATTACTGTATCGTGATAAAATTAAATAATAATATTATAATGTACTATGTATTTACTTATCGCATATTTTTTTTTTATTTTTTTTTTTTTTTTTATAATTTTGTTTTTTT